CTCTCTCTCCTGTGCCGCGACCAGATGTCGATGTCGTCTGCCGAATGGTAGCATCGCCTTCTAACCTCTCTCTCTCTCTCTCTCTGTATCTGTTGTGTGTGTGACTCTCTCTCTGTCTCTCTCTGTCTCTCTCTCTCTGTGTCTCCTGGGTTGCTGTTGTGCGGGTGAGGCCAGGCCGTGATCGATCTCCTCCCCGCGCCTCCGCCGCCTCTTTGAGCTCAGGGTGAGGCTCTGATTGCTGGTGGGGCTGGATCCTTTCTGGCTGAGCTCGATCTCGCTTCGGCTGTTGACTTTGTGACGGCTGCTGGCAAGCCACTCTGGGTGTAACGGTCACTTTCAGCCGTTGGAGCCCCGCCCCTTTGCCTGCCCTTGGATACAAACGGCAGCGCCTCAACCTTTCCATCCATTTCCCAAAGAGCTTGCTCACCCCCCGATTTCAATCACCGTCCCGCTCTTCGTCTTGATGCTGTTGGTTCGCCATTACACACACACACACACACACACACACACACACACACACACACACACACACACACACACACACACACACACACACACACACACACACACACACACATCTCTTCTTCACTTCACTTCCTCACTCTTTCTCTCTCTCTCTACTCCGCACACACAAGTGTTTCGCGTATCAAATTCTGTGAAAAAGCAGCTCACGTTTTGATGCGTCAACGGTTTTGTAGAGCCTTCAATCCCAGGGGGATTCGCCGAGGACATCAGACGTTGCACCCCATGGTCCTGAGGTGACCGGTGGAATGAGTCAATCGCCTCCACCTCCACCCGAGGTGCACCATGCCTCTGCTGTCATGGTGCCCCAGGTCGGGAATCAGCCGCCAGCTTCCGAGGCCCCGACACCTGCGGTCAGCGCCCAGCAAGTCACCGTGCCCGTGCCCGTTGCGGCCAATGCGCCCCCGGATGCCGATCTGCACCCAGCCCAACATCCGGCCCAACACCCAGCCCCGCATCCATCGCCACATCCAGACCAGCACCCCGGCCATCCGGGGCACGACCACCCGGGGCACGACCACCCAGCCCAGCACCCAGCTCAACACCCAGTTCAGCACCATGACCATCCAGCCCAGCACCCTGGTCCCCAACACATGCCTCAACACCCGGCTCAGCACCCGGCTCAGCACCCGGCTCAGCATCCAGCCCCGCATCCAGCCCCGCATCCAGCCCACCACCCCCACCATCATCCACAGCCGCCGCACCAGCTTCATCCCCACCCCGCTCACCAGCTCCATCATCCCGCTCACCACCACCCGCACCTTGTACATCAACTTCACCACCCCGACGATCACCC